AATTAGCCTTGAATCTCAACAAAAATGCTGACATCAGCATTTTCCTGAAAAAAGAAGGAAAGGATATTTCTTCACAGATTTCCATAGAATTCACCTTTACATACAGGAAAGCAAACACATTTAAAAAGATCTTTAAACTACATATGGCAAATGGTAATAAAAAACATTTTTGATATGTTTTTGATAACAAAATCGTTGCAAAAGCACTTTTAGCGTATCTGACAGTCTTCCTCTGGTTCAGCTAAAATACAGTCTAAATACTTTTTGCTCACAACCAGAAACTAATCACGCGTTGAATAGACTTGCCACTTCCATTTCATAACATAAAATGTAGGCGTAACCACGCGTTTTTTGAAGTTATTGATCTTTTTTGAAAACTTTTACGGTGCCCGTTACATTTTTTCCTGTCACCTCCCCAGTAAGTAAGACATTTGCGTATCTCGCACTTGTCTAACGCGCGCACTACGCCATCTGCAGGTACATGTGTACAGTTGGATTTCAGTATAAGTTTCGACAGATAACAGTTAGGTTTTCAGCTGGAAGACGTAAACAGTTAGTGGTTAGCGATATGCTGCTATTCTGGTGTTCCTGGTTTAAGTACAGGTTCATTAAACTGGATTTGGTCACAGTAGGAAAATTTTGCTTTCATTTCGTCGTGTACGTGATAGCGTAGTTGATTGCGTCAATGTCAGCCCCAGCGCGCGCGTGGAGCTAAATCATGGCTTGCGTGATGCGCAGAACGTGTGCGCACCAACAAAAGTGGGCACCGTCCTTAAGGACTAAACACTTGTGTTTTGGGTGTAATGCAATTTTTAACAACCTGTGCTCTATGTTTCAACCATTTTCTGTTTCAGCCACAGAAGACGTTCGAAATGAAAGTGAATATTTCAGAAACAGAACTGGTTGTTTTGGAGAATGTCAAGACTATGGACACACATGCTGTTGTACTTAAGGTATACTATTGATAACACTATTTATTTCAACAACTCGTTTCTGCCCCCTTTTGGCTTCTTAAGGTCATTCCTCCGAAGTAGGAGCCAGCACAATATTCGTTCCAAACTTTGTCCAAATAATAAGCAAAGTCATGGTACTCCAAAAATGAAATAAAAAGAGAGGGTCATTATGCTTTTTAAGGCGCTATGATCAGTTTAACATACCCCTGTTTCCTACAAATTTAGAATCTTGAATGAAGTTTCTAAAAAAAATAAATGTGGTATATTTACTAAGAAAAGGGACTTGCTAAGTCTTCCATACAAATGGTAGGTAAGAATAATAGTACTGTGCGTAAGTAAAGGAGTTATGAATATTTCGTTGAAAACAATCAAAAAATCGTAGAGAAACAACGGTACAAACACTTTAAATTGCTTGTGTGGTGCTAATATGCTTTTGCAGTTCAATTCTTTTTCAAAGCATTGGATTAAGCCACTTAGAGAAGTTATATGACAAATTGCATGTTATAAAACCATGTTTCTGGGTCTTATGTCCTCGCAATGTTTGCTGGAGAGATCGGGGTGCAATTCTGACTGAACTCCTCTAAAGGGCCGGGGGACGGGAGGAAGGGCTGCGTGTGACTTATCCTGCACTTTTACCCCTTTGTCTTTCCCTCCCCTATATGCCAGGCCAGCCATAACTTACACCTTGGGTCAAAGCAACTGTTAAGTCTGAGTTTTTTCTGCCGCCTTGAGAAAAATGTCTGTTGCTGGTTTTATCCAATGATCCTTCGATACTTCTTCTTTGGCAGATAACGTCCGTGTTGGCTTGGCGTCCTCACCTTCAAAGTCAAAAGTGGCTTTCATGCAGTGTCCAAAGCCTGGAAATGTTCTCTTGTGTCTTGTCCTGTGAAGACGAGACTGCTCTGTCAATCATAGATCCAACGTCAGCCTTGGTTGAGCTAAACAATGCCAGGAAACAAAAGGGAAGGAAGAATGCGGGACTGTTGGACATTGCTGAGGAACAACTACCCAGTCTAGAGGTGACTAAACTATTACCTTTATCTCCCAGAGAATTCCAGGGGCATCATGGCAACTGCCACTGAAAATTCTCACTGATATTTGACATTGTTTTGCAGCGTTTTGATGGGTTTCATTTGTATCTTCCAATTAAACCCACGGGTGTTTGCATTTAACATGGTAAACATCTAACAACCTCCCGTCCCAGGCTGTGATAGTCCAAATCGAAACGGAATTCATAGTTTGCGTAGCAGCCGTTTTCTTTCCTTTTCCAGGCAGAGAGATGGAACAAGCGAGCGAGCGAAGAAGCACGCTTGGGGTGAGCAAAAAAAGGGGAGAGACGGGGAGGGGGTGAGCGAGAAGGAGGAGAGGGTGCATTCGCACGCAGTGTCGTTCCGTTCGCGTGCATTTTTGGAAACGCTTGCTACGCAGGCTATGGAATTCATTAGGAAGTTGTCAGGAAGACCAAAAAACATTAATCGACGCTGTTGAGTGCAACAGTACTGCCTGTATTGGTTTGAGTGATACAGAGATTTGTGTACGAAGATGACTGTCTAGAGGCCACTGTTTGTGTACGACCTAACTGAAGCTTGAAATAACCAGACTTTTCATTGATTTCAGGTTAATCTTCAAGGACTCCTCATCATGCGTGTGTCATACAATGACTACAAGTTATACCTAAGCATCCTAGAGTCTGTGTCCAAGCAGCTGAACAAANTTAAACCCTTAAGTCCATACCTTGAAGTATAATGTTAACGTAAATAGGTAATGATGAGAAATAAACCTATTGCAATTAATAATATGGCTCTTCCTATACGCTTTGTCGCCAGCTGCAAAGTTTGTTTTATTTCAAGACCCAGTATTGACCATTATGCTTTTCACACGTCTGTTATTGTTTTGGTTTACATGATGGCAGGTTTCTTATTGTTTTCCAATACTGCACAGCGCGTAGTGCATCCTGGCCAAGATTGGGTCTTCAAGAATACTGATTCACTCATTGGGTTGTTTAAACGTGTGATTGATAAATTTGTTTCGTGTTTGAATTCACAGCTCCAGATCGTCTTGACGTCACAGTGACAACAACGTTAATCAACATGATAAACCACACCATCGCCAGTTGGTCTGAAGACTACTACAGACCAGACCCATCACCTGTGTCAGCGGTCCCCTCGACCGAGACCCCCAGCCTCCCGTCAGTGCCGTCGAGTAGAAGCGACAGCAGACACGATGATCTAAACCGAAGCATGAGTCTCGAAAGCCCTTTGAGCAGTCCTACCAGCAGGCCAGAGTCAAGCATGTCATTGTGGTCCACGGGATCAGGGTTTCCTCGGCGACGGTCACCTTTTGTTCCTTTCTTGCTCAGAAATCAAACAGGTTGGTTTTCTTTATTTGCTCTCTGAAGGACTTAAGAAAACAAAAAGAAAGACGTTTGTATATGCTATGGAACTTGATGTCCGAGGACGGCAAAAAGCAGATGAGGTCGCGGGCCGAGTGCAATTTGGCAGTCAGATGAATGTTTTGATGTAGTCTTATTACCTGCTTATTATATTGCTCACGGAACTGTACAAATTGCTTGTTGATTTGACAACATCCAAATTTCAAATTGATTATTAATTTGAATAGTTTGCAAAATTAACAAATAATCTTGAGCGCGCTTGTATTAGATTTTGTGCTGACAATATGATTACGACAATGCAACGCTGTATACGTGAACTTTGTTTCAATTATCATGATGTATGTTTTATTTTCCTTTGTACTGAGGTAAACTTCTCAACCACTGCAATGATACATAGCTCTTTGGATGCTTGTGCTATGAACATTGTTATTATTATAACGTTGAATTGTAACACAAATGAGGCTGTAAACTCGTGTTAAGCCCTAATGTAAACAGTAATTTTAATCTTTCATTTCAGGATGTGTTGTGTGGTTTAAGACGGTGACAACCACTCCATCAAAAGTGATCTTGGCAAGCACAGGGCAAGCACTTCCAGGTCTCCCAGGCTCTGGCTCAGGAAAAATGTCTGACTGGAAAGAAGTGCCCTCAGGTGGCGAGGCGCCTTTTGAGTTCAGTTCTGGAGAGAAGTTGAGACACAGAGTAAGTTTATTGGGAATCATTGTCGATCGATACAGTATATGGGACGGTACTAAGCAGGTCTGTTTTAGCTTCCTACGCTAGTCGCTCATTGGGCTCTTCACGCACTGTTTGGGCTACGAAAATATTTGATTTGTTTTCAGAGATATAATTTTATCATGTCAGCTTTTGATTGTTGCTTTTGCTCAATGATCCCAAACTTAACAAATGAAGGCTAACAAGCGTTTTAACGCGCATATATGCATACATCTACTGTGAAATTAACAGGGGAGGGGGGTGGGGTATGAGGAGGATTGTATTCTGTTTGAGTGTCTTCGAGCTGTTCGTGGACGTTGGGTCTTAGCTAGGGTTTTTTGTGTTAACTAAAAAGACACAAAAAAATCATTTAAAAACTGTGCCATAACATGGGAACGTGGTAATATCACCAAAGACCCGTATAGACAGATAGTTTTGTTGTAGCTTGACCACTATTGTGTTTTAGGACACTCATGAACTCAACATACATCAAGTGATTGTTCAGGTGGAGGGCTGGGCCTCACTCTCCCCAGTCTCTGTTGATCGAGTTGGTACGTTCTTCAGGCAAGCTCGGCCTCAGAAGGTGGACAGCACATCTATGGTAAGATACATCAACAATTCAATCCCTTCCCATGGTGTATGTGATGTTCAGGCTCAGAACTATGGAATATTTGGTCCCTGTCGCTAACATAACAACGACCTTTGCATAGTAAATGGTTTGAACCCAGGAGTATCAGTAGATCGTATTATGTGATCTTCCGGGTGAGAGTAGTTCTAACAAGATGATGATAATAATAATAGTAATAATAATAATAATAATAATAATAATAATAATAATAATAATAATAATAATAATAATAATAATAATAATGACTTTATTACCGTGTCAATTACATCTAGCAGTGGAGAATCCCCGCTGCTAATAGGGGACACCTAACTAGAACTATCTAAAAATAATATACAGAAAAGTCTCATAAGAGAAATTAAAATTATGAGTTACCAAGATGGCAGCCACTACATCCATTTAGGTTGTTGTCTAGATCTAAGCCCCGTACGTGGGTCTTAAACTGCTTGAGATTTGAGAACCTGTTGAAGAACTGTTGAACCGACCAACGACTGCTGGCAAACTTAACACGAGTCTTTCAGCCAATACCATCACGGCTAAACTGACCAATCACGTTCAACGGACCAGACTTATAACATCATCGACTGACTAACATTATTCACGTGACTCTGAAGATGACTTCTTCTCAGGTTGTCGAAACGTCAGTTACCAACAACAGTTCTTTTCAGAACTGCCCTCACCCACACGATCACACAAGACGACCTACTTATAACAACGTTTGTTAGATCTATTTAAGAGACGTTTCGACTGAACAATTTTGGTCAGATGCGCGTACACAAAGCTTGATAACAGTGCGTCCGACAAACTCGACCAAACAAACGGTACAGGTACGGATGGATTAGCTAGTTCACTGATATCTCTTTGGCAAGCAACGAGATTTTATTTACTTTTTCATTCAGGTGAGTGATCTTCAACCTGCGCGAGTTGTATTCGATGTCAGTCTGTTAGGCAGAGCACGCAAAGTGGTCACGCTCAGATCTGCGCTCATGATTAAGAACAAGATGGACTTACCATTGGAGATTAAACTACAAGGATTAACATCTCTGCATGGTAAGTTTGGGAGATTGATTTGGTTGTCACGGAGGACGTTTTTGCATAAGTCGAGAATCAGAAATTCTAACATTAATCGAATTGAGCCGATTGGATTTGGGCTGAGGGAAAATTTCTGCAATGACTTACGATGACAGCCTTTCTGTTGTTATTGAACTGATATGAGTTAAGTTATAAATAAATCAATAGCAATTTTTGTACTTTTAAGTACAAAAAAATACCTCATAAAGATGGTGAATTTTAAGCTCGGTAATGAAATGTGAAGGTGAATTAATCAACATGACACGAGCGTGGGACAAAGAAAAATTCTTAGTCCCCGACAGGAATCGAACCCATGACCTCCCGAACACCGGGCGGGCGCTCTATCCACTGAACTACGAGAACTCATGGAGAGCAAGGTCATTTAACTGNCAATGGGCTATGGAAGGGAATGCTCTCCTGCTTCAACTGCAGGGGAGTCTGGGAGGAAGTTCAGGTAAGTTTGAGTTAATATCGGTCTTTATTTGTGTTGGGGTGGTGTAAATTGTTGCAAAAGTTAGGACTGACTCACTGAAGTGAACTAAGCAGTTTGGTTGATTTGGTAAGCTGGAATGGCAGGCAGTGAAGACAGAGGAGGAATGCAAGTAAGGAAACATAACAAGTTTGTGCTTTGGTGCAGTAATTAGGTTTGTTTTAGGCCTGAGATCGTGAGAATGTTGTACCGGTAAGACTAGTTACACTGTATTGTGAATTACTTAGAGTTGGAAATCAATGAATGCACCGAGCAAAATGAATACGGAACGAAAACACGGTTATCTAAATCAGTTCTTATGGCTAGTGAAATAACAATTGAAGAGTACAGCTGATCTCTTTGTGGTGCCATTGTAAACAGGTTCTGTGTAGCGGTAAAGCGAGAGGGATATCCAGAAGATGTTCCTTTACTCGAGGGGTCTCAAACCAAGGGTTTGAATGTGATGCCTCAACCAGCCCACACCCTGACGATAATGTACCCAGTGATGCTGGTTAATCTTCTACCATGTGAGTTGAGTTACCAGGTTAAAAATGCTCCAGCTAAAGGAAACATCAAGGCCGGAAAGTCTGTCCCTTTGTATACTGTAAGTATTACTTTGTCCATCTGAATTTAGTTGATGGGGGTTGGTTGGGCTATGTGTTAAAATCTCAATCCAAGTAAGAGAAGTAAGAGAAGCTTTGAAAGAAAAGTTTTAAATAGTACATGGTGAAACACAAAAAGAGTGCAGCTTTAGGTACAGTCGAACCTCAGGCGACCAACCAAAATGTCAAGCCTAGGTGGGCGCTTACGGGAGGTGGTCGCCTACGAGAGCTTAGACCATGTTGGTTCGTTATCCTCGTGAGCATATGGTAACTGCAGAGACAGTACTGTACTTGCCATTTCAAAATGTCCGTGTTCGTGTACTACCCAGGAGTGCGATAATGTTACAACACCTTATTATCCAATTTCCATTCTAGTATCTGTCAAGTGGTAGCTTACGGGAGGTTAAAAACAAAACAAAATTTCAAACTTACGGCTTTAAAAGTGGTCACGGTCGCTTACAAGAGGTGTTCTCTTACAAGAGGTTCAAAATATAGAGAATTGACTTGGAAACTTTTGGTATTTTGGAAAACTGGTCGCTGATGAGAGGTGGTCGCTTACGAGAGGTTGTGCTATGTTTCTTTTCTTTGTCGATAAACAGGCAGACCCAGAGAAAGCTCTTGATCTTGGCATCAGCATTGAGAATTTCTCGTACTGTGACAACATTCGCATTTCAAGACGACTGAGCATGATAGAACATCCAATCATCCACGTGGAGTTACAGGACGCCAAGAGAAGATCTCTGATAGTTAATGTCAAAGTCTCAGTGAAACCGGGTGGATCACTCAGAGTAAGTAATCTTGCAACAAACAGTCAACCTTAGTGGAATGGTTATGTCGTTTATTTTCCTTTTACAGTTTTTGGTAGAATTGTAATTCCCATACTATTAAAAGTTTGTCAGTACCAAGTGGTTGGTTGACAACCAACAGTGGCAGTTGCAAAGTCTGACATTTCTACTAGTATGGTAACGGTTCTGTGCAGCAGATATGCTCGTCTCTGATATACACTCACATTGTTAAGCTGAAGCCTAGGCTTTTTCTTTGCTATACAATTGTTAGACTTCTACGTTGCATTATTTCAGTTTGTACGTTGTGGCAATTTTCCTGGATTAGTCTGTAACCTTTTTGCAGCAATTTCCGCTTAAAAATCAGAAAAGAACAGTTAACTCATTTTCTTTGCGGATAAATTTAAGGGTACCCATCCGTTCTTCATCTTTTATTTTAAACCCTTTGCTTGTTTATGGTTTAATAGGTGTCTATTTATGCTCCTTACTGGATGATCAACAAGACAGGGATTCCTCTGGTCTTCAAACAAGAGGCCGTTCCTCATGACATGGCTGGGCAGTTTGACGAGCATGAGACGGCTCGTAGCTTGACTCCGTTGTTGTTTTCCTTCTCTGACAGGGATGCACCTTCAAGGTATTTTGAATTGTAGTTCGTATAGTGTGATCGTCCGGGTGAGTGTAGTTCTGAAAAGAACTGTTGTTGGTGACTGACGTTTCGACAACCTGAGCGGAAGT